CCAGGGGCAGTGTTAAAAGTGACAGGTGACAGGTCAGAATGATTAATGATGATGTCGGCTTTCCTTTGAGTATAAAACGCGGTGTACACTACTGGTGACCTTTAGCTCTCTCTCCCTTACCTGTACCATGTCGTTTTTTAACTTATGCGTTGTTTTTTTTTCTCTCTTATATAGTTCTTCTCAGATTTCCAGCCACTCTTCTCGCTCAAGCTCTCCTGATAAGTCTAGCTGTCTGCTGTGCGCTGATGTGTTACGTGTCGTAAAAAACGAATTGAAGGAAAGCAAATCAACCACAACACCGTCGTCACTCTACTACAGGATTTGAAAGCAGATGTAGCTCTTATCAAGCTTCAGACGAAGGTAGCCTTGTTCGACAACAACAACCAGAATCGATGCTCTTTTTGCCAAAGATACTATTCTTCACAAGCTTGTCGTACTTACTTCACCCTGGGATCACGCTTGTCATACGCTACTTCTCACAAATTATGTTTGGTGTGTTTACAACCTATGGTTAGAGTTCATCGCCAAAGGGAAAAAGAATGCGGAACGTGCCAAAACGAAACTCTACACACCGCTCTCTGCCAACGTTCTGCTACTACTACTGCCAGCCGTAGAAAAAGACTTTCTTCTCGCTGATGTCCTCGCTGTTTCCCTGTTCGGAGAATGTTGATCACACAAGATTACCCAGGCGGTCTTAATGTTACCGTAGTTTCGTTTTTACTTCTTGTTGTGACTAGCACTTTCGTTTGTGATTTGGTGCCTTCGTTCTCGTGCATTTAATGGTGTGGTCTTTTATTCCCGTTATGTTTTTGTCCAACTTCTTTATATAAATTGTTTTCTTTGCAACTAGTTGTGTTCTATTTTTGTTATCGTTATACACTCGTAGTACAAACAATACCTTGGGAGCTACGTTCTCCTTTTGGGGTGCCTCTCCCTTAAGGGCTGCTTTCTCCTTTGGAGGTGACTTGCTATGAAGCCCGACCAAAATAAGTATGCTGAATGTGCTTACAGCACTCTCTTCTTCACGTGCTAAGTAATATTCTTTTATCTGAATAGTCTATCTTCTCACACATCGCTTAGCATTATCTGTTCA